TCCGAGTTGGATCCCCAGTACAACCGACAAAAAATTGGAGGGGAAGCTTGTGATAATAGGATAATGTCCTGAGAAGAATTTTAAGTTTTTGGAACTCAGTACTTAAGCAGAAGTTCACGATCCCGGCCAAACCGCTTCACCTCCCACCGCAGTGCACAGTGAGCCGGGCTGGTGGGGGACTGCGCGAGACAGACGCAGCGTCTAAGCGTCCAGGCCTGGGAGGGTCCGCAGCCTGCCGTGTCCTGGAGACAATCTTGGTATTGCAGAGGGGCCACGCTCCTTCAGGGGCCCTGGCCGGCCTGCAGCTCCTCCAGCTGGGAAAGGGGATAAAAGCAGCAAGTTTGGGGAGCCCTGGGAGACCCCGGCGAGAGGGGCCAGCGTCTCGAGCTCATTAGAGCCCATTTTTTCTGGCGGAGCTCAGCAGCAGAGCACGTGCCTGGCAGGTGCGAGGCACTGGGTTCGAGCCTCAGCACTGCAAGAATAAATTAACAGCATAAAAGCACAGACTCCTAATAGTAATTCAACACACATCTGTAGTTCCAGCATTCAGGAAGCTGAGGCAAGGAGGATCGCTGTGAGTTCAAGGCCAGCCTGAGCAACATAGCGAGACACTGTCTCAAACAAAAAGAAAAGGAATTTGGATACAATGGAAATAAATTGTCACCACAGGGACTAACAGGATTCAGTTTAACCCAGAGGTATGGCTGGCGATGCCTGGTCCCCAGATGGGGAGCTGGTGCTGGAGAGCAGGACAATGTGGCCTCCCTGCCACAGCGCTGCAGGGAATCCGAGCTTGCGGAGGACACGGCCCCACAGCTGCTCACAGAGCAGCTAGGAGAGCGCAAGGCCAGCGAGAGGAGAGACCACACGGTCGCTTTCATGCTCTCCTGGGGGAGCCCGGAAAACCCCAAACCCCGCGGCAGGCAGCCAGGCCCTGGCTGCATTCCGATGGGCGGAGCTTCCCTGGGCACAGGCCGGCAGCGGCGGCGGCCTCTGGACTGGCTGCAGGGAGAGGGAGCCTTCACAGCGCGCTCACCGGCTGCTCACCTGGTTACTCAGCACCCACAGACGCCTGTCGGCCTCCCAGGGTGCCCTTGGGAGCCACTGTCACCTGTCACTCAGCCCCCACAGCAGAGGAGGGAGATTTGGGAACGGAGGAGCTAGGGGCTTGGAAGCCTGGTAGCAAACGCTGTAAATTGTGTCAGCCCAGAAGCATTTTGCGGACCAGAGTTTGGGGGCTGGAGCCAAAGTCCACAAGGAATGGGTGGTGCACACCTATCATCCCTGTGATGTGTGTGTGTGTGTGTGTGTGTGTGTGTGTGTGTGCGTGCGCTGGCGTGTACGTAAGGGAAATGTAAGGCCTTTGTTAGAGGAAACAGAATAGCATTACTACAGTAACACCTAATTCCCACTCGTCTTCCCTGAATGGGGGAATGGCTGTCTTTGTCCTTGGGAAATAAATGCACCACATATCAAGTCTCTGAATGACTCTTAAATGGCTGGAGGGAAGCGGGGCATGGTGGTGAGGTCTGTCATCCCAGCACTGAGGAGGCTGAGGCAGGAAGATCACTTCAAGTCTGAGGCCTGGGCTACCCAGTGAGACACTGTCTCCAACAACAAAACCAAAACAAAGTGTAGGAGGGAGAAGAGGTGGGAACTTTTTGGAAGAGGCACATGGGTCATGGCTGCACAGGGTAGTTGTCTCCAGAGCTGGTTTTCCTGTGTCCAGCCCTCTGCATGCCCTTTTACTTTCTTTCTTTTTTCCATACTGGGGGTGACTTCAGGGGTCTGTCTACCAGAGCTCATCCCCAGCCCCTTTTATTTTTACTTTGATACGGGGCCTTGAATAATTGCCCATACTTGGCTCAAACTTGTGATCCTCCTGCCTCAGCCTCCCAAATGCTAGGATTACAGGTGTGTGTCAAGAGCCTGGCTCCCCTCTTTTCGCACACACTCAGGCTCCCACTTTCCCCACAAGCTCCTCACCAGGTGCAGCCGCCCAGCCCCGGACTTGCCGGTCTCCGGGAACTCTGAGCCCAAATGCAGGTCTTCTCTGCCTAAGTTACTCAGCCTCACATGTTCTGCTGCAGCCAAAGGGAGTGGACTGAGGCACAGGGTGCCCGAACCAGGCCTGCAGGGGCTCCTCATGGTACTCTTGCCATTTTTCTGTGCCCTTGAAATCCTGTCAGATTGAGAGATTTCCTCACAGCAAACAGAACAAACTCCCAGGGCGTGGTCAGGTGCCCACTGCCCCAGGCCTGCAGGATGGGACATGTGTTATTCAAATTAGGTCACCCCTCGATGACAAACCCACCTCGGTTCCTGGGTTCCTGTCCATAGAACAGAGAGGCTCATGTCCATTCTGGGTCAGATGGTTCCTAGGCACCACGCACTCATCAGAAGAATGGTTGGTAAATTCGATTTGTGCTGGGACTTAATCTCTTTTCCTAAAAGTGTTACAGTTTTCTGCTGCCTGCCTCGCAAGCAGAAGGACCCCAGTTTGATCTCCGGTACCCCCCCCAAAAGTGTTACAGTTTAAGTTTAATCTGCTTTTGTGACAGCTCATTAATAAATAGAATGTGAGCTTTTTAAAAATTTTGAGACAGGGTCTTACTATGTAGTCCAGGCCAGTCTTGAATTTGCAGTGATCCTCCTGCCTCAGCCTCCCAAGTGCACCACCATGTTGGCAGAAGGCTAAATGTTTTAGACATGACAATCTCTACTAAAGAGCAGGAATCCATGAAGGTTCCCTGTAAGGCAGTACTTACAGCATCCAGTTTCCCTAAGCAAGAGCTTTCTGGGAGAGACGTGTCCACTCACAGGCAGCCCATAATACTACATCTGTGGCCCCACATCTGGTGGTGGCCTTTAGCTGTGACTCAGCACAGTGTTGCTCTTTTCTCTGCTTTTTTTGGCAAGGTCTCTGAATTGCTAATTACAGGATTTCCTCCATCTTGCACTCCCCCCGTCAAGCTTTTTGAATCTTTTAAAAATTTTTTGGAATATTTTGTTTTGTTTTTGAGCAACTTAAATATCTACTCCTCCAAACCCAAGGGGCTGAAAGTCAGACAGACTTTCTCCCAGAACCTCTAGATGATCATCAACTAGTTTTTTTCTCAGAGCAAGAAAATGCCAGTTTTGCTGGGTATGGTGGTGCATGCCTACAATCCTAGCATTTGGGAAGCTGAGGCAGGAGGATCACCACAAGTTGGAAGCCAGCCTGGTCTACAGAGTTCAAGACCAGCCTGAAGTGCATAGCGAGACCCTGTGTCAACAAAACAAAACAATAAAAAATCCCCAGAGAGAAGGCTAGTTTGGGATCCCTCCAAAGGCTGATCCCACTGTGGGAATTCTCCTTAACCTCCTGGCCTGTGTGGAGAGAGATGGTGCCCCTGGAAAGGGCAACAGAGGTTCACTGCCCTTTCCCTGGCCCCACCTGGGCTCCTGCAGGGCAGCACCCAGAGGGCACCTGGCCTGAATTACCAACCCTGCCCAGGGAAGGCCCAGAACACACACACACACACACACACACACACACACACACACCGGCACCCCTTGAGCAGGCTGAGTCATCTGGGTGTGGAGCCTGCTGGGTTACATTCTTACAACACAGGGAGAGCAGAGTATGGAGGAGAAGCCAGGGTGTTGTAATGCACTCTGCAGGCCAGCTGGGAGCCGAGACCTAAAGCACACCCGCTGTGTCCAGGCCGCACAAATCCACAAATCGTGGTGTGGGTCAGACCCTGTGGGGGCTGAGGACTCCCGCAGCGTCAGGGGAAAGTGGCCCAAAGTGACCTCTGTCTGCAAGGCCCTTTCGGGCCTCTGCTCCCCTATGCTGTCCCCAGGGCTGGTCTTGAACTCCTGGGTGGACCGCGCTTAGCAGCGCTGAAGGCAGCGGGCACAGCCCTGCGTACCCGGGCAGAGAGGCGCCTTTAGAATTGAGAGCTGTTGTGAGCACAGTACCGTGTCTGGTCCTCTGAAAGCAGAAGATGAAAGCCCTGACCTTGGAGACGTCGAAGGAGGAGGCAGGGCGGCCCAAGTCTCCACAAGTCTCAGACGCCAAAGTCCTGTCCCCGGCCGCTTGGGGCCTGAGCACCAGACCCTGGCCCTGAGACCAAGCTGAGGGAAGCCGACACCCACACCCGGGCCTGAGGACCACACCCCGACACCACCACCCCACTCTTAATTAGTGTAACACACCTGTTTTCACACCTGTGAGCAAAGTATGGGGAAGCAGACGATCTCTGCCTTTTTTCTCCGTGGTTCTTTTTCTTCTGCTTCCAGAGCTTGGCTGGGAGAGAAGGGACAGCCAGAGGGGCCAGGAGCAGCCAGAGTCCCGCCCTCTGGCGAGGGACAGGGCACAGAGTGGCTGGCCGGTCCTCTCTCCTGGCTGTGTCCTTTGCAAGCCCAGGTGTCCAGCACCTGCCCCCCTCCCCCCACACCTGGCCTCGCACGTGTGCTCCTGACACGAGGAGAGCCAGGTGTGCCGTGCAGATTCACCTTCGCCTCCAGAAAAGCAGGTCAGAAGTCGAGGGTGGGCAGGGTCTCAGGGAGCCCAGCTCCTGTACCTATCATAGGCACGGAGAGCGCAGCGAGCCGGACTCTGGCTGTGCCCTGCTGCTGTACCCACCTCCCAGCTGAGGCAGCTGGCGTGTGTATCTGATGAGGTTTGAATGCAGGTTGTTCGGTACACAAGGCGGTGTGCTGCTCACCGGACCGGGAGCCCGCGCCCACCTCTCCTGCTGTCAGATGTTCAGGCCATTCGGTCATCTCTGGCCACCGACGCTTCTCAAATTTTCCACGTTTTCTTTGAAGATTTCCAGGAGTAATTGTGACGTCGCTGTGATTTGACTTTCTTCTTTTAAATAGATTTGATTGGAAAGCTGGGCATGGTACTGCACACCTCTAAGCTCAGCGCTCGGGAGGCTGAGGCAGGAGGATCGCAGAGAGTTGGAGGCCAGCCTAGGCTACATAGTGAGACCCTGTCTCAAAAGGGGGGGGTGTTAGATTTATTTGAAATTATGTATTTGAATTTATTTATTTATTTGGGACAGGGTCTCGCTATGAGTTCAGGCTGGCGTTGGACTCATAAGAGTCCTCCTGTGGGCCCTGGAGATGGTGACTGTCACATCCAGCCCTGTAGGTGGTGAGAGGGGAGGAACATTTTCCGGAGAAAACTTGGGCCAGCCAGTCCCGGGCTCCCCAGGAAGAAAGCAGGAAGTGGCCCTGGACGCCCACTGTCACGGAGTCACATCACAGTGGCCCTGCGGGGTCACGCCCCCCCCCTCTCATGGCCAGCATCCTGGCCCTGGTGCTACCTGGTTCCCTTCCAGTGACCGTGACTCACAGTGAGAAGCAGACCACATTTCCGCCAGGTGTGGCTGCCCGGCCTCGTGTTCTGACTGAGTTTGGCTGTGTGTCCCATGGGCCCCGAGTTCCCAGCTCCCCGTCTATGAAGCCGGGATAACGACGGAGTCCTATTCACGTTTCTGGGATGGGAGAGCAGAAAAGAAGACGGGGACGAGGGTCGTGAAGCTGGAGCCACAGAGGGCTCCGAGTGGGGGAACCTACTGTACCCCGCCCGGGGCTCATCGGCCATCACAGGTCCATCGGAGTGGCCCCGCCGGCAGGACATGGCGGTGGCTGTGTCTTTCCGTCACTTTTCTGGTTTTTTGGGGGGTTTTTGAGACAGGGTCTCACTATGTAGTTGAGACTGACCTGGAACTCACTGTGTAGCCCAGGCTGGTCTCAAACTCGCAGTGATCCTCCTGCCTCAGCCTCCCGAGTGCTGGGACTACAGGCGTGCGCCACCACACCCGGCTGTGTCACTTTTCTGTGCGGCTCCCCATGCAGCCCCTCTCCCCACTCCCTCTTTGGGTTTGGACAGCCACGGGGTCACTCAGGCTGGTTGTCCCTTCCCAGGTGCCCCATCCGAAGCTCTTACACCACAGCACCCCACCCGCCCCTCTCCACGTCGGCCCCTTCTCACTGCCGTGGGGCGATGCCCAAAGTTCCTGACTCAGCCGGCCTCTGGGAGCCTCCTCTGCCCCTTCACCTTCACAAACGGGACTTCCTAGACCTAGGATGTTGGCGCCTTCCTGACCATGACCACGGGGAGAATCAGGCTACACTTCCTTTGCCCTCAGCGCACAGGCACAGGACTCGTAAGGTGGCCCCGCAGTCTGACATTTTAAAATTCATGACCAACGGAGTGAACTTTGCAATCCAAAGATGGGTCACCTCTCACAGTCGGAAAGTACCACTCCTAAGCGTGGCTCTGATTCGGTCACTACTCAGGCAAAAGCTTTCAGTCGCCCCTGTTATCCAGGGAATTTAGCACAAGCTGCCTACCCTGTAGTTAAATCCCCTGTACAGGGTGAGCCCAATGTGTCTCTGCGTTGATACCATTTGGTCTCTCTGGGGCTGGGCGGTTTAAGGGACAGCACTAAATGGGAAAGAGGGGTAGACCAGATGGCCCATTGTTTTCCTCTCCCCCTAAGAGTCCTGACCTTGGGATTGTAAATGTTCAGAATCCCGCTCCTCCACGGTCCCCGCACACTCGTGTCTCTCTGTTCACAGTCCAGTTAGTCACCACTCCCAGCTTTCGCCTGTTGAAATCCCATCACTGTCCCACCTTAGCAAGGACACAGGAGGATGAGTCAGAACTCATGAAGGGAGGGCAGTTGGCCCGCTGGGGCGGCTGGTGAGTCACCTGCAGGTGACAAGAAAGAGGTGCAGCTGAGAAGTCAAGATCTGTGCGCTGTCTCTTTCTTATTGAGAAGTCACGGGGTGGGGGTCAGTGATGGCTGCTGAGAGGTGAGGTTTAGGGGGACCGACTTACCCAGAGCTGGAGACGGCGGATGTGTCCTTAATAGTAAGATTGAAAGTTCCTGGATCTAATCAGCAGCAGCCACCAGACACCGCTCCCTTTCCTACCAGCCTCAGGACCCCAAGAGGAAACCACCAAAATACTCTTCACTGCGTTGCTGAGCTAAGGGCACTACAGGGTAGGTGCATCAAATGTGTTTTCAATTTAGGATATTTTGACCTGATAATGGGTTTAAACAGGAGATAGCTCCATTTTAAGCTACGGAGTGTTTGTAAGCCATACGCGTTTCATTCCCTCTCACACACCAGGGCACCGGAGGCCTTGAGAGCTGGTGTCTTCGTCACTTTCCCATTGCTGGGACAAAACTCCCAACACCCACAGCTTAAAGGAGAAGAGGTGTGTTCGGCTCAGTGTTCAGCGGGTACAGTCCGTGGTCTGCTGGCTCAGCATGGCGGAAGGGCCTGAGGGGGAAATGTCCTCACCTCATGGCGACCAGGATGCAGAGAGAAGGGCAGAGCCAGGGACAAAATGCACCCCAGGGTCAGGCCCTGCCTCCTAACAGCACGCTCAGCCGTGAACTAACCCATCTGTGGATGAGTCCCCTGGTGATCCAGGCACCTTCCACACACAGACTTGGGGGACATTTTAGATCTGAACCACAGCGAGGGTGGCAGTGAGGCCCAGGTGGGCAGAGGCCCACTCATGTAGTGATGGTGCCTGTGTCGGGTCTGCTGGAGAGCCCGAAGCCCTGACAGGACTGGGAGAAGCTGGCCGTGGCCCCAACACTCCCCCCGGGGGGGTAAGGGATGCTTGAGCACCAGAAAAAGGTCCTAGTTATTCAGTGAGCAGTGGCCTGCTGCTAACAGGGGACAGAGAGAAGGCAGCCAATTCCACCTCTGAGCTTTTTAGGAGATCTCTTAAAATGCGCAAATAGCAGGCTGAATGTGGGGGCACACACCTGTAATTGCAGCACTCCGGAGGCTGAGGCAGGAGGATGCTGTGAGTTCGACACCAGCCTGAGCTACGTAGTGAGTTCCAGGTCAGTCTCAACTACACAGTGAGACCCTGTCTCAAAAAAACCAAAAAAAAAGTGCAAATAGTAAAACATAATTTACAAAATCACAGTATATTTTAGTGTTTGTCATTTAAATTAAAATTGTGGGAGCCAGGCGTGGTGGTGCACACCTGTAATCCCAGCACTTGGGAGGCTGAGGCAGGAGAATCGCTGTGAGTTCGAGACCAGCCTGGGCTACACGGTGAGTTTGAGGTCAGTCTCAAAATAAATAAATAAAATAAAACAAAATAAAATTGTGCTATTTATTTATTTTAGGTACTGGGAATTGAACTCATGACCTTGCCCTTGCGTGGCAAGCAGAAGCACTACTGAGCTACACATCCCTGGCCTATTTAAGTTTTGCAAGATGAATATTCCCTTCTTTCCCTCCTGTAAGCTCAGCTTCGTGTGTGACTTCACAGCCTCATTTGTAGGTAGCACGAAAGTCCAGATTTAAAGCCATTTCTGGTTTGCTTATTTTTGATTTTTTGAGGTAAAGTCTCGCTGTGTAGTGCAAGCTGCCCTTGAAAATGGCGGAGCCCAGGCTGGCTTTAAACTTCTGGCAATCTTCCTGCCTTAGCCTCCTGGATGCTGGGATTACAGGCGTGTGTCACCACGGCTTGATTTCTATGCATGGCTTCCCCACTTACCCTAAGACAAGGCTGGGAGCTTCCAAATGCAGGAGCAGGTTCACCCGGAGCCACAGGGAAGAAGTCCCTGGGAGACTTTCAGCGGGACCGGTGACAAACACCTCTAAGGCCAGCGTGGGGAGTAGGAGGCGTCTTTGTGTCCAAACAGGAAGCACATGATCTGATTTCCACTGTAACAATTTGAGGAACTGCAAGCACTCATTTTTAAAAAATAACAGCCAGAGATCTAACCCAAATCACAAATATCACATGCCAGGTGTCATGGTGCATTCCTATAATTCCAGCTGCTGGGGAGGCTGAGGCAGGAGGATCGAAGGTCAAGGGAAGCCTGAGCAACTTGTCGAGACTGTGTCTAGAAGTAAAAACCAGAAAGGCTGGAGATGTAGCTCAGTGGAAGAGCACTTGCCTGGTGTGCACAGGGCCCCGGGTTCAATCTCCAGGGTCACAACACAGACATGCAAAACACTAGCAGTCCACTCCACAAGGTTTCAGCCTTAGGGAACCCTGGTTAGAGGGCCCACTTTGGAGAGCAGGCTCTCATCTCTTCTAGAAGGAAACCCAAGCCCCAGGACCCCTTCTGTGCCTCGTGCCATCAACATATCAAGGGGTGGCACAGGTAGAAACCTGCCTGATGTACTCGGCCATCTGGAAAGTATCTGTGTGTAAGGGCACCTGCCTTTCAGAAAAGCAGATAAGCAAGGCAGAATGAGCAGGATAACAGAGCTGATGATACTTAAAAAAAAAAACAAACCAAAACTTCTTTCCCTCCTTCCTTCCTCTCTCTCTCTTTTTTTTTTTTTTGTACCAAGGATTGAACTCTGGCCCTTATGCTTTCAAGGCAGGCACCTAAACCACTGAGCTAAATCCCCCATTTTTTGTTTCTGCTTCTTTTTGGTTTTTGAGGCAGGGTCTCACTGTATAATTCAGGCCAGTCTTGAACTGGCAATGCTTCTGCCTCAGCCTCTTTTTTTTTGGCGGGGGGGAGTACCAGGGGTTGAACTCAGGTCCTTGAGCTTTCCAGGCAGGTGGTGGAACCACTGAGCTAAATCTCCAGCCCATCAACCTCTTGAGTGCTAAGATTAGAAGCTTCCTACCATGCCTGGCCTAAAATACATTTCTCATATCACTTTCATCTTAACTATAAGGAGGCACTAATGCAGAGCTGCTGCTACTGTGTGTGAATGTGTTTTGTTTGTTTTTTGACAAACAGCTCTGTAATTATGTTTCCCCACAGGCTTACAGCAAAAGATAAAACATTAATTTTTTTTTCTTTTTACATACTAAGAGGAAAAAATACACAAGTGAAGGAATATCTCCCTGAATGCAATCACATTTCTATCTAAAAACATATTTATCTCGGCGGCCTATCCTTCCAGAGAAATGCTACAAAAGAGAGCCGGCTACTTCGTGTTTGTCTTGAGTGTTATCTCATAAAACAAGAGGAAAGTATAAAGGAAGTGAGTGCCACGTCCTTCATCGGCTGCCGCGCTGCAGAAGCCCCAGCCACATGACTTCCGTGAGGATTTCTGCAGGAAGGGACCATCGCCTTCCCTTCCTCTGGTTGCCTTTGAGAGAGAAGGTTCTGGAACTGCGTCAGACGACTTCTGCTCTCCCTCCTGCCCCCCACTTTTCACACTTTGCGATCGACCCCTAAGAGTGGCTTCTCCAACTGCCAGAACTTTTATGGGAAGTTTTACTCAAGGCTTTTATCTTTGTGTGATTGTTTTTCCTTATCAATATGTTTACAGTTTTTCACGTTTTTTTTTTTTCTTTTTTTTGAGACAGGGTCTCACTATGTAGTTGAGACTGACCTGGAACTCACTGTGTAGCCCAAGCTGGTCTCGAACTCAGAGCGATCCTCCTGCCTCAGCCTCCCGAGTGCTGGGATTACAGGCGTGTGCCACCACGCCCGGCTCACATCTGAATTTTTTGAAAAAGGGGTCATCAACCAGTTCCTTACTTCCTTCCGTGCCTGGGCTTTTGTAGGCACCAGGGATAAAGCAAAGCCGTGACCAGAAAAAGCCGGGGACTCGCGCTGAGTCACCCCAGCAAATGCCAAACCGCTCTGGGGCGAGGGCCCCTCCGGCTCCACATCGTCCCTTCTGGCTTCTTCTTCGTTCTTGCGCCTTCCCTTCCCCTCCAGCCTTGTCCTGGTCGCCTGGTCCTCCTGCTCCCCCAGCTCCGGCTCCGCACGTCGACCAAGGGGTCGGCGCTACGCACACTGCGCTCCTGCTCTCCCCGGGATGGACGCAGCCGTGTCCCCGTGGTCCCGCTTTCTGCCCTCCCTCCCTCCCTTCTGTCCTTCCTTCCTTGCTCCTGACCTCTGCCCAAGGGTGGCTGCCCCGACCACCTGCACCGGAAGGCAGCCTTCGGGGGTCACTGCCCCTGCCTCCTCCCACCTGGGAGCGGTGGTCCTGGCCTCCCTGCCCAGCCTCCTCTGAGCGGCCACCCCTGTCACCCCTCTCCCTGGCGCTGGCTCGCGCATGGCCCGCTCCGGCCTCTCCTCTTTGCCTGGAGCCCGGGCCTGAGCTGTGCAGAGCCGAGCGTGGTTCCCGGTTCCCCTCTTCCAGCCCGGTCAGCAGCATCGCTCCGGCCGCCCAGTCACGGGATCACACACTTCCTCCCTTGCTCGGCTCCCTGGGTGCCACCGGCGGTCATCAGGAAGGAGGACGCTGGAGAGGAGCCCTCCCCGCTCCCACGATGCTGCGCTGTCCGTGCCCACGGCAGCCTGTGGCCTTTTCCCGGTCTTCCCGCCCACTTTGGCCTCAAAGCAAACCCTGCACACTGGGTCAAAGCAGCAGCCCGAGGCCACTCAGAGCCGGGCCACAGCCCACGCCCACTGGGCCCCGCACCGATCCTGTGACTGCGCTGTCCGCGGCACTTGAAACCTCCAGTGCCGGTTTCAAGCCCCATCTGCCTCTGCACAGGGCAGGGTCCACAGTGAAAGGAATCCCTAGATAGGCTCTGGGCAGGAAATAACCCGTGCCAACCCCTCATCACGCCGCCCCTCCCTGGCCCCACCCGTGACCTTGGCCAGGGTGGCTGCAAGGCCCCGCCTTTAGGACTCCGGGGAGCGGTAAACTGTCCCCTGCACCGTTTTCCATGGTGTGTGTCACGGTCCTCTACCTGGAGTGCGGTGTTTGTCTGTGGGTGTCTTTCTACCTCTGTGTACCCCGCTACCGTCAGGGGCCTGTGGGCCAGTGTCAAGATCAGGGGACGGACGGACGGATGGATGAGGGGCGTGGCAGCGCTGGAAAGTCGCAACGGCCACACTTGCAGCCATCACTGAATCTCCCTGCAGATTCCAGTTTGCTTTCTGGAGTTCCTGTGGAGCTCTTCCCGGATCGCCTACCATTACACCCCCACCTAACGCGGGGGATCGGTTCTCCAGCCGACTCTGCTCCCAGGAAGGGCTCATTCTCATCCCCATAAACTTAAATTGCACTGTTCGAGGCCAACCCTCCATTACCCAGTTTCCTTCCCTGCGCCAGGTCGACTGTGGGTACAGAAGCTCCCACGCTGAGGATACAGAGGGCAGATGGAGGGCTGGGACTGGAACTCAGAGTAGGGAGCACTGGCCTCGTCAGGAAAACACCGCAGCCCCTGCTTGGTGTGTGACCTGGCGCCCCTTTGCGATCAGTGGCCTTCCATGGCTCCTGGTGACATCTGGCCGCAGCTCCGGCTGGGCTGCAAGGCTCCCCGCCTCACCTCCTGCCATGAAGGGTTCAGCGCTCACAACCCTGCTGCAAACAGGGCTCCCGACTCTCTGCACAGGACATCCGCGTCCACGCGCCAGCGGGCGTCCGGCTGGCGGAAGCAGTTGCAGAGATGCACAGGCTGCCAGCAGAGCCGGTCCGCCCTGTTGGGCCCTCCCTGTCCCACGGCCAAGTTTGCCTTGCACATTTCTGTGATGCTTATCAGAGGCGGACAAAGCCTCCTCCCTCCGCTTTCTGCCGAGTGCAGAGGTGCAGAAGATGACGCTTGGCCTTGGGGGACCAGGACAGTCTGACAGGAAGACAGGGAGAGCTGACGGCAAGGGGCTGGGTAGCAGCCTGAGCTCAGCCTGAGCTGCCAGGCAGGACGGGCGGCTGGCACAGAAGGGCACAGAGACAGAAGCTTCCTGGAAAGCTCGCCCCCCATCGGGGTGGGCAGCGTGGCTCTGTGCATAACCTTGGGACACCAGGCAAACAGTGGTAGCCATGGTGACAGCACCACACACACACACACACACACACACACACACACACA